CCTGCTCCTCCTTCTCCTCCTCCTCCTCCTCCACAAATACTCAATATGAATACTTCTCTCCCTCTTCCCCTGACGACGGCCTGGGAGTGTCCGACCCCCCCCCCGCGTACTGTTTTTTACACACAGGTTTCCCCGGAGTTGGGTTTTCGCTTGCATTTTTTCCAAAATGCTGCTCTCGCTGAGGCGCCGGCCTCATTTTCGGGCCCCGCTCGTTCGAATCGTACTCCTGCTGCAGCGCTGGCATCATTTCCGCCGGCGCCCGGGCTGCACACCCGAGCCGGCGCCCGGGCCGGCGCTCGGGCTGGGTCCAGAACCGGTTCCGGCCAGCGCCGGAAAATTGAGTTCCGAGGCGGCGCCGAAAAAAGGCTATTACACATTGTTCTTTTGAAAATGCTCAATTTCTGCTTCCGGCGCCCGGGAGGCCTCCCGGGCCGATTCCGACGCCCGGGCCGGCGCCCGAGCCGGCGCCCGGGCCGGACGCCCGAGCCGGCGCCCGGGCCGGCGCCCGGGCCGCGGGTCCGGAGCCGGCCGGATCCGGCCGGCGCTGGAAAATCGAGGTCCGAGGCGGCGCCGAAAAAAGGCCATTCTAATACACATTTTTCTAGTGAAAATGCTGAATTTCTGCTTCCGGCGCCCAGGAGGCTTCCCCGAGCTGGCGCCCGGGCTGGACGCCCGAGCCGGCGCCCGGGCCGGCGCCCGGGCCAGCTCCGGAGCCGGCCCGGGTCCGGAGCCGGCCGGTTCTGGCCGGCGCCGGAAAATCGAGTTCCGAGGCGGCGCCGAAAAAAGGCCATTCCAATACACATTTTTTTGTTGAAAATGCTGACTTTCTGCTTCCGGCGCCCGGGAGGCCTCCCCGAGCCGGCGCCCAGGCTGGACGCCCGAGCCGGCGCCCATGCCGGCGCCCGGGCCGGGTCCGGAGCCAGTTCCGGCCGGCGCCGGAAAATCGAGTTCTGAGGCGGCGCCGAGAAAAGGCCATTCCAATACACATTTTTCTTTTGAAAATGTTGAATTTATGCTTCTGGCGCCCGGGAAGCCTCCCGGGCCGATTCTGGCGTTTCCGCTCGCTCCGAATCGTGCTCCCGCTGCAGCGCTGGCCTTATTTCCGCGCTCCGCTCATTTCGACTCGTGCTCCCGCTGCAGCGCTGGCGTCAGTTCCCGTGCCATGCCACGGCATGCAATGCAATGCAATGCTAGGTTGATACTACGCTTCGCGGTGCTCTTCTACGCCATGCCATGCCGTGCTTTACAATGCATCGCGTACCCTTTCGGGATCATTGCCCTGCTCGACATCCGACTGTGCGAGTAGAGAGGGATCTGCGCCATGGTAAGGGATGGGAGGGAGGGGTAGGATGTCAGATATGACGCGAGCGCACCTAGCTTGCCTCCCCTCCCCTCCCCTCCCCTCCCCTCCCCTCCCCTCCCCCCCTCCCCTCCCGTCCCCCCTCCTCCTCCCTCTCCTCCTCCTCTTCCTCCTCCTCCTTCTCCTTCTCCTCCTCCTCCTCCTCCTCCCCTCCCCTCTTCTTTCCTCCCTCCCTGCAGGTTCACCGATAGGTGTCTCTGAATAAGTGTTGATGCAATATCGTCAAGTCTCTCTAGGTCCGTGGATCTCAAGCTCTCTTTCACTTCAGCACGCGCGAAACCAAAGATGTATATCTCTCCTCGCCGCAAGCGTTGGTCTGCACGCAGTCCGGGTATTCTCCAGATAGCCAGCCCTCGAATCTGTCCCAGGGAAATCTCTTTGTCTGAATATTCTGATATTCGATCTCGATAATCTGGCTGGCTCTCTGGAACCAGCAAGTAATGTGTCTGACCGCCCAAAAGGCGGCTCAAGGGGCCCCTAAGCCACCATGATTACGGATAGCTGCAAATGACACTCGTCTCGCACTTACGGAAACGAAACGGACACGATTGAGCTCGCATCCCCAGAAATCTTTGTTGCAGCTACTCCATGGAAACGGCTTAGAGCCTCGAAACGTCCGCACCCGCTCTGGTGCGTCTCAGAAAAGAAAACACGCAGTAAAGCAGGCAATAAGACAGGCAACAAGGCAGGCAACTGCAGCACAGCGGCGTCAGCCATAGGAAGTAGGTTCACTCACTATCATGTTATCATCATCATTGTCATCACCGTCTGTTGCATCTGGTAACGGCACTCCCACTTTCATGAATGCCATCTTGATGAGGCCAGAGATATCCTTGTTGTTCTCGAACCTGCTCATCCCGCGCTCCTTACGCTTCTTGGCAGTGAGCTGCTCGTCGTCGTCTACCAGTGACCAGCTCCACGTCTTCATGTACAGGTCGATGGGCCCTGTAGCTGTCGTCTTTGTCAAGCTATCGGCCAGGTTGGCCTCGGAGTGGCACCACCGCACGATCAGCTCTGTCTCGTTGATGCACTTCTCGAAGGCCATCAGCTCGAGCGCCGTCCGCTTCTCAGCCAGGCTCTGCATCTGCACCTGCTTGGCCAGACAGTCGTAGATGCTCTTAGCGTCCACGCACAGGCACGATCGTACCTGCTTCACGCCCTCCAGCATCGGCTTTGTCGTCTTGCTCTCGCTCGCGGTTCCCACGGCCACGTCCGATACAAAACCGTTCAGCTCGGCCCACATCATTCTTACCATGAAAAGCTCGTCCTCTGTCACTGTCAGTGCCTGAACCTCGGCCGCCAACGAACTCCTGGCCACACGCTGTAGCTTACCACTGCGATGCGAAACCCAGCCAACTGGGGCCCGCTTGCCGTTCAGGATGTCCGCTGGCGCAATCCCGATCACATATCCTCCTGTCGAGAGCCCGTCGGGTCGATTCGCCCAGGCTGCATCACTCCAGCCTACGACCACTCCTTCTCCCTCGAAGCTCTCGAACTTCAGCTTGTAGCCGTGATCGTTCTTCATCTGCCTGATCAGCTTGTTGATCCCGAAGAGCGTCTCCACTGTCGCCGTCGGTCCACTGCTCTGATATATTGAGCACTGCGCCTGGTATTTCGGCATCGTCTGCGTCGCCACCCACTGGATCTCGCCCAGTGCCCCCCGAAGCATCGTCATCTCCTTATCCGTCAGCTTCTGGTCCCGTTGTTTGCGACGCTCCCGTCCGATGTTGATCTCGGTGATGTTGTCGATGAACTCCTTCTGGTGTACGGTGATCTCGCTGCTGGCCGTCTGCATGACCGACAGTCCGGCCTGCTTGAAGTTTCCTTCCTCCCATGGAGTCCAGCGGAACGCCTTCTGCAGCTTCACCTCGATCTCTCGCCATCGAACTCCACCATCTCCGGCGATCAGGAAGTCGTCCACGTGTGTGCCAACTACCCCGAACACGTTGTTGTTCTCGCCGCTGAAAACCCAGACGCACGGGTCCGACACGCATCGTTGTCCACCGAGCTGCTCCATCAGGGTGTCCACGCTCTCGTACCACGACTTTGGTGCTTGACATAGTCCGTACACTGCCTTCTTTAGTCTCACCGCTGTCCCTCCAGGTACTCCGAACTCCTCCGCCAGCTCATCGTTGGCCTCGATGTAGGTCGGCTTGTCGTCTGGCATCCCTTTTCCTTGCAGGAAAGCGGCCTTGACGTCGCCCTTCTTCAGCTTCCACTTCTTCATGGCCGTCAGCTGGAAGATCATGTTCCGAGCTCTCCTGGTCATAGTCGGCGATGCCACTGGTTCTTCTCCTAGCCTAGGATCTTGATATCCCAGCACTACCAGTCTCGCCTTTGCTCGGCTGCCTCCTGTCGCTTCGTCCTTCTTCCAGGTGAGTACCCAGCGCGTCTTCAGGACGTCAGACGACTTCGGCTTGATGTGTGGCGGTAGCCTCTCCAGCACGCCCCCTTCATCAGACTCTTCTGCTCATCGGTCATGTGCTTGACGCTTGCCTCAGACCTTCCTTTCTTGATCGCCTTGGTGATGTACTGCTCCGGCTGCCTCGTGAACTTGTTCATGCTGTTCGCGTCGAACGCTTCGAACGCTACCTTGATGTAGTCGATCCCCGTCGGGATCTCCAGGTCCTCCTGGATCTCCGTAGCAGCCCATGCCGCCACGTCGAAGTTCTCCCAGTCGAGCTTGTCCCAGTCCACCTGGTCACCGTCCGCGATCTTGTCATTGAAAAGGCACTGTAGCTCCTCAGTGCTGGTCCGAAGTTGGTCCGCATCCTGACCCTCCTCTTTGTCTTTTCGAACAGGTCGGTCTTGACTTTTCTCTTCTCGACGATCCGTCTTTTGAGATCTGCTCCTCCTGCAGTTGTCTGTTTCGTGTTCTTTACCTTCTCGCTCTCGATGTCATCCATCGACGGCTGGTCTTTCTCATTGTCCCCATGGGTCTCCTGTACCTGCTCCACGACCATCTTCTTCGCCTTCTCATGGATCACCTCCTTGGCGTTCTGGTCTACCTTCATCTCCTCTGGCTTGTCCGTGATGGGAAACAGGTAGGTCCTGCCAGTCCAGCGTCGTCCCATTGACCTCGTAGACTTCCCATGCACGTTCCAGTTGTCGTCCTTGACCGTCTCCTCGGATCCGTCCTCATACCTGATCACGGTGATCCTCTCCATGGTCGTCTTCTCCGGTTTGGATCTGAAGCCTCTTGGCGTAAACAACGCCACTCTCGGTCGTAAATGTACTCTGATATGTACAGGTCGTCCTTCGAACTCACCTTCTTCCCAGTGGTCCTCCTTGTCTCCATCTTCTGGTGCACGAGCTGTGGTCTCCGGTGTGTAGGTCTCCTCATTCATCGGCGCGTCCTCTTTATCCACGGAAATCACCTCCCCCTTGTTGAGACTCTCCAGTCCTTCCACGAATGTCCAGCGTGTGTGCTTTTCCTCGAAGAACATCTCTTCTTCTCTTGGACTTGCCGCTCGTAATTGTTCGGGTGCACACCTCCACAGCCTCGACCCCATCACGACCCATACCTTTCTGGATTGAACGAGCGTCCCGTCGCTTGTCTTCGTCGTCTGCACCCCGAGGATAGTACCTGTTCCAAACCATCTGCCCTTGTCAATCCCATGATGTCGTGGTCCTGCTGGTGCTGGTTGTTTAGCCTGCTTGCCATATCTCCATACACATCCCAGCATCCCAGGATACAGGTGTTGTGGTCGTTGATCTCGTGCTGCTGCTGCTCTCGTCTGCTGCTGCTTGAGAATCCGCTCGCCAATGATCTTTGATGCCAGCACCCGCTTGGACAGGTTCTCCATGTAGCTCTGGTTCGTGCACTTCACGACGTCCAGGTGGTCCTCCTTCTTGAGAGTCCCTGACCAGTTCTTGTCTCGTCCGAAGGCCCATTGGCTCGGACTGTATCCATCGACCCTCTCGACCGTGTTGTGTGCCTCCACCGCCGCATGTACAGCTGCCTCCAGGTCGGTCTCATGATCACGATGCATGGCCTTGGCGCACTCAAACACCGTCTTGATTGCACGCTCCGCGATGCCATTCTGCCAGTGAGCCTGGGTGGCACACGGATCCACCTGCACTCCTTCACCTGCAATACTGTCATAGAACTCGTGTGACACGAATGCTCCTTCCGGATCGAGCCTCAGTACGCTTGGCATGCCATACCGATCTGACCAATGTCTTCTGAACGCATCCAGCAGCTCCTTGGCGGTGCAGTTCCTCGACTCCTGAGCGGGTATTGAGAAGATCTTGACCGCCAGCGTCAGCTTACTCGCCTCGTCCACGATCACAAGGTGCTTCCGCTTGATCTGGTCGTTGCCCACGATCTCCTTCACGTCAATGCCGACCACCTGCCATAGATCTCGAGCTGGCTCGAGTACCGCTGCTGGTCTCGGTCTCGGTATCTGATTCTCAATGCACGAGCTGCACTTGATCTGCTTCACGGCTGCGATTGTCGTCGCTGAAGCCCCACGTCTTCGCATGATCCTGATCATCACCCTCTGTGGTCGATGTCCAGTATTCCGATGCAGCCGCATCGCTGCTTTCATTAAGTCATTCTGCTTCAGCGCCAGCAAGTCGTTCCATTTTTGTTGCTCGTCGCTTGTCAGCTCTAGCTCCCTCTCATGGTCGAACATCTCCTTGTTGTCGTTCGCCAGGGCTTCCTCCTGCCTCAGCTCCTCGATCATGCCCATCAGCTTCGGCGGTTCCACGATGTTCCGCCAGATGATCCTTGCCATTCATGAGGGGTATTTGCCCGATAGTGCAGCATCCTTCCCGCAGCATTCTGCATGTCCGTGTCCTTGGGGATCTGGGCAGCGTTTGCCACTCAGGGCCGTTGCGAGCTTCTTCCTGCTGGTCCACAGCGTCCACGGTTTGTATATCGGCTCGCCCTTGGTGTTGACCACCCCGACCTGGCACCCGTCGAAGTTTACCTTCTCCATGCCCAGCTCACCAAAGAACTCTGTCAGCTCCGGGAAGTACTTCCAGCCATGGCAGTTACGTGGCCACTCGAAGTGTACGTCCCCGCCATTGTCCTTGACAACCCTGCTCACTTCCATGAAGTGATTCACAATCTTCTTGAGGTTCTTCTTTCGTGCTTCGAGCTTCTTCCAGTACTGGCCATCCTGTCTGCCGATGTAACCGTTGTGAAGCGCGCTGACGGCTGTGCACGGTAGGCTTCCCCAGATGTCTGCTCCAGGGTTTTTCACCGCCAGGTGCTTGGCCCACTCCAGTCCATGCTTCGTGCTGAGATCCGCGTCCTTCCGCGTGATCCTGATGATCTCGGCGTCCTCGCGTTCCTCCGCGACCTTCCCGAGCTGGCTGTCCTCCTCCGTGCAGAACTCGATCAGCTGTTTCACGTAGAGGTCTGTCGCCATCCCAGCTTCTGTCACCTGCTCTAGCACCCAGCTGTAGTCCTTCAGGTTAATCTCCTCCTTGTGGTACTCGACGTCAATCCCGAACGTGATGACGTCGTCGTCCCCTGAGGGGACGTCTATGTCGGTTCTCAAGGACCCACGGGCTCCCCAGCCTGGGGAGACTCCTTCTTCTTCCTGCGCGTCGGTGGGTCCGTCCTCCGCTTGGTGCTGTCGCGCATCTGGTCGAACATCATGTCGGCCTTGCTCATCTGATCGGTGCTCGGGTACGGCGTCTCCTCCTCCTCTGATTCTCCGGCCTTCTCGAATGAGTCCTCCGAAGATACCTCCTCGATCTTGGTCCGGCTCTCTCTCTCCGACGTCGCCTTCTCCTTGGTGACTTTCTCCTTCGTCACTTCTTCGATCTTGATCTTTCCCACGGTCGGTCCCAGAGCTCCCTTCTGCCTGTACCTGCCCGTCGCCCCGTGCTTCGGGATGTACAGCATGACCAGCTCGCATCTCACGCACTTGTAGCTCACCTTGTATCCGTTGGCGTGCCTCGCCAGCGGGTGTGTCGTGTCGTGCTCGCCGTAGCACGGCTTGCCCGTGTAGCGATCGTCTTTCTCGTTGTCAGCTTCCGCTCTGTCCCAGTCCAGTCGTAGGTCCCGACGATCCAGTGTCATCCATTCGCCGATGGTCCGCTTGCCCCATCGCTCTGGATCGGTCTGTCGTCGCTGTCGGTCTCCACTGCCCCTCCGATGTCCTGAACCACCGTCGAGGCCTTGGTCCTTCTTGATGTTGCGGTGCTTGTTGCTGTCGATCGGGACGTCGGCTGCGGGCGTCGAAGCCGCCGCTGCCGCCCCAGGCATCGTCCCTGATGGCCTTGACCCGTTTGGCGTTGATCCACTGAAACCTGGATCTTGAGCCACCACGTTGCGGATCGCAATCAGCATCACCGCCACCATCATTCATGATTATCTGAGGTACTTTGCATTTCTCGTGTAGGACATCAGTTACTTTCATCTCTGGGGGCTTTGGAGTCTTCTCGAACCCATTCGAAAAACTCTCAGGCCTCTGAGATCCCCTGAAAGACGTCTCACACGTATCGGTAGTCACGTACTTAGATCGTGTCGGTGTGGTCTGGATCGCCGAAAATCTCCGAAATCGGGTCGAAGTACTCGCAGTCCTTGATCGAGCTGTCGTTCGTGTCGGACTCGCACATGTACTCGAAACCCGTTCCCGCTCGGAACTCGTCGGTCTTATTTCCAAACCCGTGCCCACGAAATCCTCAGTGGTTTCTGTAATGAAATTCACATCATCGGAAGTCTCAAACGGTACCCTCTTGCTCTCGGTCCCCTCCTCTGCTCTCACTGTCCTGGTAGGTCCTCCAATCCAGTGACGTGATGCTGGCTTTGTTTTCCTGAAACCAGCACCGCAGAAGGAGGGGCGCTGTCCCTATTCAGGGTTCGCGGCTGGATCGGCCGCCGCGACCCTCGCAGTGCCGAGAGCCTGCTGTAAGTCCTCGAGCTTCTGCTTGAAGTCCTCCGTGTCAGTGTAGTTCACCTTCGCGTCGTAGAGGTCCTTCGTCATGTCGATGCACAGGTGTCCCGTCGAGATCCGCTTGAGCTTCGCCACCTTGTTCTTCGTGATATTGTTGAAGCAGGCGATCCCCGTCTCGAAGTCGATGATCGCTCCAGCACGCTTCAGGAAATCCACTGACCCCAGCAACGGCACGTAGCGGTCCCCCTTGGTGTTCAGCGCGTAGCCCGACACGCTACCTAGATTGCCGTTCGCCTGCAGCGGGAGGTTCGTCCGGCACGAACACTGCTCCGCGTCGCCGTTAGCGAACCCGAACTTCGGTCGATCTGTCACATCGACCTTCACGTTGCTCGTGTCGATTCCTGCCTGCTGCTGCTTCTCGATGATCTTCTCGAGCGCCACGATCGACCCGAACGTCTTCGTCGCTCCGCTGTCGAGCACCATGCACCCCTCCGTCTCATCCGCGAGGCCGGCCAGCGCGTGCTCCACCTCGAACTCCGTGTAGGCCATCTCCAGGTCGTTCTCCTCGAGCTCGTCGTCGTTGGCCTCCCAGTTCGCGAAGCTGAACGCCAACGCTCCAACCTGAGATGCTCGTCCGCGTGGCTACTCCTTGTTTCGATTCTCCGGGTTCTTCGGGCAGTCGGCCTTCCTGTGCGGTCCGCTGCAGATGAAGCACGGCCCTCCGTGGCCCTTGCCGCCTTTCTTGCCCTTGTCCTTGCCCTTCTGAAAGAACCCTCGGCTTTGCTTGATATCCTTCACCACGGCCCGCGCTTGTGCCAGCGTCCTCTTCTGGTTCTTGACGTCCTTCTTGGCTCCAGCGATGACCGCCAGTGCCTCCTCTGCCTCCGCGCGTTCCTCCTCGTCCAGACCTTCGAGGTCGAGTTCGTCCTCGTCCCATTCGAACTCCGCGTAGGCTTCGTAGTCGTCTTCCGGGTCGTAGTCGTCTGGAGCCTCCTCTTGATCATCTTCATCTTCTCCAAAACTCCTAGTGCTCGTCCACGCCCAGATTTGTGCGGGAATATGTCTCTCTTCTTGTTGTGCGCGTCGTGCTCCTTCAGGTCCACGTCTGCCCACTGGTCCCGCAGCGCTGCCTCGATGTTCTTCAGATTCAGCGAGTTCTTGGCCGACGACAGGACTCCCGCGCGCTCTTGAGCATTAAGTCCGGCTCGTTGTAGTAGCAGCCAGCCCGCCATCACCGACGGGATCAGCGTCTCGCGCGCCTCTGTCGCCACCTCCTTCAGCGCCTTGATGTCGGTATCGTCATCCTCCAGGTCGAAACGTGCCATCAGTGAGCACAGCGCATCCGTAGCCTTCTCCTTCAGCGTCACCTTCTTGTGTGCCTTCAGCGATGTCGTCGCCTGTGGCCAGGTCCAGCCAGCTGACCCTGTCGGTGAACTCGACCACCAGCTGCTGCCATACCACCAGTTACCCTTCCAGTAGCCGTCGTTCTCGTCCTTCCAGCTGCCGTCGTCCTCTGTGCCTTCATCTTCGCCTTCGGGGCCTTCTCGTTCGCGAGTGGACTCCAGCGTCACGGACTCTGTCTTCTCCTCGGGCCGCATCTTCTTGGCTAACTTGATCTCTGTCGTAGTATCCTTCTCGTCAATTCGCCTGAAGCTCTGGTCCAACTTATCTGCGACGATCCTGCTCCTCTGAGCGTAGGCCTTCATGCCCTCGTTGTTCCTCCGTCGCAGCGTGAACAAATACTCCTTCAAGTACTTCGCGGCCTCCGGTATGGGTTCGTCCATGAGCGTCTCGTCCAGGAACTCTAATAAGATCTTGTGGCCTCCAGTCTTTTCCAGCAGCTCTCGTCCTTCATCTGAAACCTCTTCGAGCGCCTTCCATGCTTCTCCTGTGAGAGCTGCCGCCAGTCTCGCTCCTGCCACTTGTTTGTCTCGATGTGAAAGACCAGCCACATACCATTTCACACGCTCTCGATACTCCTGGAATCTGGTGACGTCTCCATCCCATGTAGGTACCTTCTCGCCGTCGTCTCGAGATTCTCCCATCTTTGCCGGCAGTCCAGGTATTGGAGCCAACCGGCTCCGCTACCAATGCAGGTTCACCGATAGGTGTCTCTGAAATAGTTGCTGATGCAATATCGTCAACTCTCTCTAGGTCCGTGGATCTCAAGCTCTCTTTTACCTCAGCACGCGCGAAGCCAAAGATGTATATCTCTCCTCGCCGCAAGCGTTGGTCTGCACGCAGTCCGGGTATTCTCCAGATAGCCAGCCCTCGAATCTGTCCCAGGGAAATCTCTTTGTCTGAATATTCTGATATTCGATCTCGATAATCTGGCTGGCTCTCTGGAACCAGCAAGTAATGTGTCTGACCGCCCAAAAGGCGGCTCAAAGGGCCCCTAAGCCACCATGATTACGGATAGCTGCAAATTACACTCGTCTCGCACTTACGGAAACGAAGCGGACACGATTGAGTTCGCACTCCCCTCCCCTTCCCTCCCCTCCCCTCCCCTCTCCTTTCCTCCCCTCTCCTCCCCTCCCCTCCCCTCCCTCTCCTCCTCCTCCTCCTCCTCCTCCTCCTCCTCCTCCTCCTCCTCGTTCCCCTCCCTCTCGCCCTCCTCCTCCTCCGCCTCCTCCTTCTCCTCCTCCTCCTCCTCCTCTTCCTCCTCTTCCTCCTCCTCCAACTCCTCCTCCTCTCCTCCCCCTCTCCCATCCCTCCCTCCCCCCCCCTCCCCTCCCCTCCCCTCCCCTCCCCCCCCTCCCCTCCCCTCCCCTCCCCTCCCCCCTCCCCCCTCCTCCCCTCCCCCCTCCCCTCCCTCCCTCCCTCCCCTCCTCCCCTCCCCCCCCCCCCCTCCTCCTCCTCCTCCTCCTCCTCCTCTTCCTCCTCCTCTTCCTCCTCCTTCCTCCCTCCTCCCCTCGCTCTCCTCCTCCTCCTCCTCCCTGCTCTTCCTCCTCCTCCTCCTCTCCTCCTCCCTCCCTCTCCTCCCTGTCCTCCTCCTCCTCGTTCTCCTTCTCGTTCCCCTCCTCGTCCTCCTCCTCCTCCTTCTCTTCCTCCTCCTCCTCCTCCTCCTCCACTAGGTCTGCTTGGCCTGCCGCCGGCTGGCTCGCCCAAGGCGATTGTCTCGCTGCACTGTCGAGGCGTTGTTCCGTGGCGGCCGCGCTGAGGAAGGGGAAGCAAACCTTGTGCGCACGTCAAGTGTTCAATTTTGGAGACTTTGTTGTTACAGTTGTTGTTGTTGCGGTTGTTGTTGCTGTTGCTGCTGCTGCTGTTGTTGTTGTTGTTGTTGTTGGTGGTGTTGTTGTTGTTGTTGTTGTTGTTGTTGTTGTCGTTGTCGTTGTCGTTGTCGTTGTCGTTGTTGTTGTTGTCGTTGTCGTTGTCGTTGTCGTTGTCGTTGTCGTTGTCGTTGTTGTGGTTGTGGTTGTGGTTGTGGTTGTGGTTGTGGTTGTGGTGGTTGTGGTTGTGGTTGTGGTTGTGGTTGTGGTTGTGGTTGTGGTTGTGGTTGTGGTTGTGGTTGTGGTTGTGGTTGTTGTTGTGGTTGTGGTTGCTCTTGCTGTTGCTGTTGCTCTTGCTGCTGTTGTTGTTGTTGTTGTTGTTGTTGTTGTTGTTGTTGAACATTATTACTTCTAAAGAATAATTATTGTTGGGGCCCCTGGTGCACGACCCCCCCGCCGCGCCTAGGCCGCAGCCTCATTTTCATCATTTTCGTGAGGAAGTCTCAGGCAAAACGGGTTGGTCCGGATCCGGTTGTGTTGTTACGATCGGTTTTCCCTTGCAAAAAATAAGCTAAAGTGGACATTTCTTGTTCTAACATAACCAAACTTCAAGAATCCCTTGCAAAAAATAAGGTAAAGTGGACATTCGCGCGCGCAAGACGAAATCCTTCCAAAACCTTAGTTTTCGTAGCGATTTTAACATAAAAACATCAAAAAACCAATGGTTTTTCAAAAAAAATTGTCAAAATTTCATCCCGCGCGCTCTTGCGGATTCGTAGGAAACCCAACACTTTTTAAACATTTCTGTCAAACGGGCTTTTGCGAGCAACTTTTTCGAACTTCTGCAACAACGGTTGCGCACCTGCCAGGGCCATCATCCCTGTCAAATAATACCATGCGGGACACATTCGTTTTTTCTTCGCGCGCGCACGCCGTCGTCGTCGGCCGCGGGGCCCTGAATAGTAGCCACGGTCGTCCGCATGCCACGAAGTGAAGTGTCCGAACGTCATAGGGCGGGAAGCTGGGTGTGGGTGGTGGCGAAGAGTCGTTTGGAAATTTGGTAGAGCTTGAACCGGCCCCCCCACAAAGTGGGGGTATTGCCCGCCTCCTATGAAAACCCCGGCACTGGTGAGAACGGTGTGTCCCCACGTGCTAGTAAT